GACGGAGCGGGGCTCTGCGGGTCCGTTCCCCGCCGGAGCCGAGCCGCTGTCACTGGTGCCGGTGGGCTGGGGGTGTCCTCGCCCTCGTCCCCATCCCATGACGGCGATGAGGCGGCGGTAATGCCATTAGCCCGGGGATTACGCGCCCGCGCCGGGATGTGACACACTTTCTCAAATGGAAGTTTTTTAAACAGAGGGATTTGCGTGATTCCCCCCCCCTCCCTTCATCCCCATCCCCATCCCCGTCCCCGCCCGCCCCCCGCGGGGCCAGCTCGAGTTTCAGGCCTCGGCCGGGGCTCCCGTCTCCTTTTAAGGCCGCGGGCTCGATGCGTGCGGGCCGCCGGGCCCCGACGTGGGGAACCGGGCAGTGCCGGGGCTGCGGAGCGGGGGGACGTTGCGCCCCCGCGCAGGGAGGGCGCTCTTTAGTTAAAACAATAACAATAAAACCAACCGAGCGGGCTCCTGAATCAGAGCGGCGCGGACGTACCGAGGGCGGGGTACGGGCGGGGTGCGGAGGATGCGCCCCCTCTCCCCCAGCGCCCGGCCGGACCGGGGTCACTCAGCGCCCGCCCTGACAAACAGGCTGGAAAATGTGTTTATAAATTGTTCAGACTCTGGATAAACTTCAGCGCGTTCTGCCCGCGCCTCCCCCCCTGTTGTTATTTTCCAGAAATCTGGATTACTGGAAATATTTTCTTTAAAGCTGGAGAGAAATCTAAACATTCTGAGGACGGGGGAGCTGGGGGGGGGGGGGTCCGCGCTGCCGGGGCTCCTCGGGTTTTCCTTCGCCGGGCCGCGCACAGACGGGGCGCGCAGCCCCGCGGCCGCACGGGAGGAGGAAAGAAGAGGGAGGACGGCGGCGCTGGGGCTGGTGTCGGGCCGAGCATCCTGCTCGGTTTCTGTCGATAAGTCCATCGGGGGGGCCCCGGTGCCCGGCACATCCCGGGCAGTTGCCGCCCTCCGGACCCCCAAAGGGCACCGGAGCACCGGGGGAGATGTTTTCCCGGGATCTCCCGGAGTAAAGGGGATTCCCACCCCACCGAGGCGTCTGAGGGGAGATGCGGCGCCGCGGGGAAGGGAGGCGGAGGAGAGCTCCGGGGTGGGTGAGAGCAAACGAAGGCAGCTTGATTGCACGCAGGTTTATTTTCCTCTCCAGGTGGAGCGGGAGAAGCGGGGCCGGGGAAGCTGCCGGGGCCGCTTCTCGCCCTCTCCCCACCTGCCCCACGGCTCGGCCGCTGCGGGGTGGCTGGGCCGGGACAAGGAGGGACGCCGGAGCTGAAGGAGCCGTCGAGTCCCTCAGAGGTGCGGCACCCATCGGGCTTCTCCCGCGGTGCGAAGGGCTCCTGCCAGGGCCGGGCCCGAGGCGGGGGGAGGTCCTAAACCCGCATCTGCGGGTTCTCTTAGGACAGCGCGGCCGGAGGTCTCCGACGTCCCCAGCTCTGCCTGTCCCGCTGCTCCCGCGGCAGCAGCGGGGAGCCCAGCCCGGCGGTACCGGCCCCCTCCCTCCATTATACGGCTCTTTCCCATCCCAGCTTGGGTTCCCCCAGCTCGGAAAGGTGCGAGCGGCCGGGTCGCCCTCCACCGGCGCCCGAGGGGGTCCTTTTGCCGTGGCATCAGCGCCGCGAAAGAGGGGCCCGACGGCTCGCCCTCGGCACAGGAAAACCCCTTTCGCCCGGAGCCGGAGCGACCGCGGCCGGTGCGGCCTGCGCAGCCCCGTCGGGGGGGAGCGCTCCCCGGGACGCGGGGCTGCCGCAGCTCGGTGGAGCCGGGAGGAGGGGAAGGCGGAGGCCCGGCGGCTTGTGAGAATTGTTATTTTTCATCAATCACCTGCAATTTGTGTAAGTGCCCCGGACAGGACACCAGCCGTCCTGCTGGCTGGGGTCACCGAGACAACACAGCAACGGAGAAGAGCAAATTGCATTTGCTCACCAGCTCACAGATCCAAATTACGGCCCTCGCATGGCGCGGGGAAGGGAGCGAAAGGTCCATGTGACATGAGGGAAATATGAAGGACTTTGACAGGTCTTAAACGGCCTGGCGCCAAGGCCTAAGTCTACCGGCTAAAAATAGAAAAGGGATGATGAGTGGAGATGGGCAGAGATGAAAGGGGAAGAGCGAGCGGGGCCGCGCTGCAGCGAGGGGCAGCGGGGACCGGACTGTTCCCCCCGGGACTGCCCGTTCGCCACCGTCCCAGCCTGGGGACCGCTCACCAGCGCAGCTCCGGGCCCGCGGCCGGCCGGGGCTGCTCCCGGGAGCCAGGCGTGGTGTCCCCGTGTTACGGATGGGGTGATGACGGGTTTCACCCGGCCGTGGGCACGAGCCGTCCGCCCCGTCCATGGGCGCAAGGCGTTACGTCGGGTCCGAGATCCTGAGCCCGGGGTCCGTGGATGGAGCTGCCCGGGCAGTGGGTGCTCCGGTCCCCGTTAGCTTCCCCCCCTGGCAGTCCCATCAGCGAGCGCGCTATAGAGGGTCGGGGAGACGAGGCTGCTCTGGATCGGGTTTATTCTGCAGGCGAAGGCGTCTGCGACGGTAACAGTGGTGCGGGGAACCCCGGTCCCGGGCCGCAAGAGAGGGAGAGGACCCCTTTTCTCCCGGGGCCCGGTGGTCTCCAGGCCTGATGCGCCGGGCCCCGCGTCTCCCGGCGGAGCAGCGGGCCAGGTGTCCGCGGAGGAGCCGTCCCCATCGTGGGGAAAGCAAGGGAAGGGTCCAGGTTTGCTTTGTGAGGGGAGAATTAAGAGAAAAAAAAAACAAATACAAGCAAGCCCCGTTTTTGCCAAAGCTGCCGTCAGCAGTTTTCCGCCGCGGCGAGGAAGCAAAGTCCAAATCGGGTCTAAATTTCAGTCCCCGCTCCATGTTCAATGGTCAGCGGGACCACCCCCCCCCCCCAGTCCCGCCACCAGGGACAGCCCCGGGGGGAACGCGCTGTGCCCGCCCCGTCGGGCGCGATAGCAGGGCCGGGCTGCGCAGGCAGAGGTGAACCTGCCGCGGGACACGGGCAGGTTGCGAGCGCCTCCGAGCACAGCCCGGGACTTGGTGCTGGGCTCTGCGTTGCGCTGGGGGCCGCGGGCGGGTGAACCGCGGGAGGGGGGTAAAGAGAAAAGTCGGGGTGCGAAGGGGACAGCCGGGGGTTCCGGCGTCCCACCGACACGCGGCCCCAAGGACTCTGAGCTGCTGCGCATCCGCGGAGCGGGAAGGCCCGGGGGGGGGTCAAGCCGGGGGGGCAGAGGAGGGGGCCAGACCGCACACCCCTCCTCGTCCCGCCTGGCCGCAGCGCAGGCAGCGGGGGCAGGAGCCTTGGAAGGGTGGCAGGGAGCTTTTTGAAGATTTGGGGGTAAATATGAAGTGACAAGAGACGGGTCTTTATTGTGAGGGCTCAGCCGCCTGGCGCCAGGGCCCTCTTCAGCCACCGCGGCCCTCAGTTAATCAGCGCAGATCTCCAAACCGACCTCTCCGCGGGGACACCCACCGCGCCCACAGCCCCCCCCCCCCCCCCCCCCCGGGCCCTGGCGCGGCGGGACCGGCCCTTAATCCTTCTGCAAACAGCCCCGGAGTGTGTGTGTGTGTCCCCCTCCTCCTTATCTGCTTCCCCCCCGCCCGGGTAAACAGCCCCCGTGCCCAAGCACAGCCGCGTCTGCCCCCAGCCACGCACCCAACGCGCCCCGACGGAGAGGTTCGGGCCTTCGCCGTGGGTGCGGGGCTGGGAGCAAGACCCCCCCCCCCCCCCCAACCCCCTCGCACCAGGTCGTAGCGGCTGCCGGCGGGGCGGGGGATTGGGGGGCGACGGCAGGGAGCGACTCACCCGCGCTGGAGGTCGCCGCTCGGGGCCTCGCCGCCGCCCGCAGCTCTCCGCCGGGCCGCGCTCCCGGCGGCCGCCCCGTCGGCGCTGCGCGGCTCTGCGCGGAGCGGCGGCCGAGGCGCGCCCCACCTCGATCCACTCTCCAGGCTCTGTCGTAAGACGGCAGCCGCCGCGCTCCCCCGGCCACCCCCCCCCTCCCTCCCCGCTCTCCTCCCCTGCTCGCTGCCCCCGCGGACACCGGCGGGGGCTCTCGGCCTCCTTCCCCCCGCCCCCGAGGCTCCGGCCCGGGCGGGCCCGGGCGCAGCTCCCCGCTCCGCCGAGCTGGCTCCGCGTTGTCCCCGCACCGGCGACGGCCGCTCCCCGGCCGCGGCGCAGCCGGGGCTGACCCGGTATGCGGAAAGGAGTCGGGGGTGGGATTTGGAGCACTTTTCTCTGTCATTGGTTAATATTTTATCCTGTTGACATGTTTTCTTACTGCCGAGGCTTCCGACACCTTCTTCTCTTTTTTTTTTTCCTTCTTTCCTTTTTTTTCCCCTTCTTCCCTTCCTCCCTCCCTCCGCGCCCCCCCCCCCTACCCCCCCGCGCCCCGGAGCTTGGCCGGAGCTGTCAAAACCACGCCTATGCAGATCCACAATTGGTCTGAAACGCGTAAAATCAGCAATCAAGGGGGCTTGGCTCATTAGCGGGCGGATCAGAGCAGGAAGGACATGTGAGATAGTCACAGTTTTACAGAGATCAGGACAAGATCCAACCGTTTCCACTCCGGCTCCCGGAGCCATGAGCAGCCCTCGCCCCAGCGCCGTCCGCGGAGCGCGGAGCCGAGCCGGCCCCGCCGGGGCGCAGCCAGGGCCCGCGGGGGTGTGAGGGCCCCTGCCCCGCTCCGCGCCGCCCCGCGCAGCCCCGCGCCGGCTTTTGTTTCTATTTTAGTGTTGGGAAGGACTTCACTGGGAGGGCTCTCTCCCTCGCTCGCTCTCCCTCGCTGCAACAACAACAACAAAAAATAAGGACCTACTGTCTCCCCTCCGCAGACCGGGAGTCCCAGGAGCCGGGAACTGCCTCTCTTTTTTTGTTTCTTCTTCTTTTTTTCCCTCCTTCCCCACATCTCGTTCCGCTGGGGTTGGTTTTATTTTATTTTTTTTCCGGCTTTTTTCTGTGTGCTTTTTTTTTTTCCTTTTTTTTTTTGTGTGTGTGTGTGTGTTGTTGATTTTTCCTTCCTCTTCCAGAGCCTCGAGCGAGTTCGCTGGGCAGGAGAGGGGAAAAAATATAACTAAACCAGCAACAAGCAACAACAAAACCCACACACACCTTTTTGTAAAGGGAATCCCTCTTTTTCTCCTGGATTTGTGGATGCACCGATGAGAGATCCAGCCTTCCCAGGGACTGCCATGGCTTACCACCCCTTCCACGCACCCCGGCCGGCCGACTTCCCCATGTCCGCTTTCCTCGCAGCCGCCCAGCCTTCCTTTTTCCCCGCTCTGGCTCTGCCTCCGGCGGCGCTGGCAAAGCCCATGCCGGACCCCGGGCTGGCCGGGGCGGCCGAGGCCGGGCTCCACGTCTCGGCCCTGGGACACCATCACCAAGCCGCCCATCTCCGCTCCCTCAAGAGCCTGGAGCCCGAGGAGGAGGTCGAAGACGACCCCAAAGTCACGCTGGAAGCCAAAGAGCTCTGGGACCAGTTTCACAAGCTGGGCACCGAGATGGTGATCACCAAGTCCGGGAGGTAAGAGACGGCCCCGCGCAGCCCTCCCCGCACCTGCGGGGCCGCGCAGCGCCCTCGCCCCTCCGGTTCATCCCGCGTCCCCCGCTACTGGCCAGATCCGCCCCGATGAATTAGCGCGGGGAGCTTCGGTCCCTGGAGGTTTCGGAAGTATTTAACCCCCCTCCGAGCTCACCCCCCCCCCCCCCCCCCCGTTGCTGCTTTCCCCAGCGCGGTCCCAAATTAAATTTTGCGCGGTAATTGAGCGCCTGCGAGCCCCCCCCCCCCCCCCCCCCATTTGTTTACGTCGCTTCTCACCGATTCCTTCCATCCTGCCAAACTTTCCCCGCGGCCGGGGTCTTCCCGGCCTTTCCAGCGCCCCCGGTCCCGGGTAGGGCAGCGGCGGGGCCGCCTAGGTCCGGGTGAAGGCAGGGAAACGGGATGCCTCTGAGCCCCTGTTTCCCGGAATGGGATCTTAGAGCTTTCTCCCCGCTTTCTGCCACGGCGGATGCAATAGAGCAGGGTGAGGAGCGTTTGGGACGAGGAAAGGCTGGAAATCCTCTGTGAAGCTGAGATAAAAGATGGTGGTTTCGAAGCGGCAGCCGGGGCCGGGAGGTACGGGGCGGCTCGGTGGGGCCGCGGCAGCCGGGGTTGGCAGCGGGCGGGGGGCACAGCCTTGTACCGCTCTGGGTCTCTCCGCAGGAGGATGTTCCCCCCGTTCAAGGTGCGGGTGAGCGGCCTGGACAAGAAGGCCAAATACATTTTGCTGATGGATATAGTGGCGGCCGACGACTGCCGGTACAAGTTCCACAACTCCCGCTGGATGGTTGCCGGCAAGGCCGACCCGGAGATGCCCAAGCGCATGTACATCCACCCCGACAGCCCGGCCACGGGGGAGCAGTGGATGGCCAAACCTGTTGCCTTTCACAAGCTCAAGCTCACCAACAACATCTCGGACAAGCACGGCTTTGTAAGTGCGGCTGTGGGGCAGAGCAGAGCCCCCCGAGCGGGGACCCTCCGAGCAGGGATCTACCGAGCAGAGACCCTTTGGGTTTTCCCGGTGCCGGGCTGACCGGTCCTGCTCTGCATAGGGCGGCCTTGGAGAACCACTGGGCTTCAGCGGCTTCTTCTCCCGCCAGCAGCGCGCCCGGGGCCCGGCTGGACGTCGGGGCCTTGCCTGGCCCTGTGATGCCCTGGCTGTCCCACTGCCCCCTCGGCCGCTGGTCCTACCCGGCACCGAGGGGTAGCTCCTTGCCTTCCTGGGGACGGGTCCCCAGGGAAAACGGGAATGTTGGGCTAGGGACAGCCTCAGGGTCCCACATCCCGGGTCTCCACGGCCTGTCCTGCCGCCTTTCCCCGGCCCTCGGGGCTCTGCGGGGAGCGGTATTTGGAAGGGTGCATGTGCGGGGCCGAAGTGGTGCCGGGGGGTGCAGCGAGGGCAGCCCCGACGGAGCGGAGGGGCTGGGGACGGGCAGGTGCAGCCCAGGATGTCGCTGCCGGCCGAGCCGAGCCGGGCCGAGGAGAGCGGTGCTGAGAGCTGCGGCACCTGCGCTGGGTTTCCGCGGCGGGGAGCAGGGCCGGAGCCGTTGGCTGAAAGCCCCTATTTATTTCCCTATTTATTCGGAAGCCCCTGTTTACTTCCCTATTGGTCATATCTGCATCACCTAAAGGAGGTAAAACAAAAATTAAAGCCGAAAAAATAAGAACCCGACAAAACAAAGGGAAAGGAAAAAAAAAGAGAAGAAAGAAACCGAAGCGTGTTGGCAGTTTGGAGAGAGATCCGCAGAAATCAGGGTCAAAACGAGAGGGGAGCGTGATCCTGCGTGAATGCACGGGGCTGGGAGGGGAAATCACAGCGCATAAGCCAGCGGTCTCAGGCCTCTGGACAAGCATTTCGGGCGATAAAGGGAAAGCTCATCGTGCAGCGCTGGTGCTACGGGAATTAGCGGGGGCCAGAGCCCGGAACCGCGGGACAGCCGCGGGACTCGGTGCTCAGGTGCGGAGCGCAGCGCGGCAGCTCCCGGGGTAACTTTTTGCTCTCGTTTTATGTGTTGGTTTTTTCCCCTCTCTCTTTTTATTTCTCCTCTATTCTTTTTCTCTCTGAAGGCAGGAAACGGCGTTTTGTTAAATAATACATTGCGAGGTTATTTATAGGCAGCAAGGTAAATCGATAGATGGGGAGTCTAAAAAAATATCTTTTTATTTATATATATATACACATATACTAGGGACAAACTAGTTTGATTCAGCGTTTTGAACGGTTCGCCTCCTTCAATTAAAGATCTTTTTTGTGTCCGTCGTTGCCCAAAATCCGGACTGTGTTAAATCTGGGAAATGAGGGTTTAGCCAGTGCCCATCTGGTCAGAGAAGGATGATTTTTTTTTAAAGGAATGCGGATTTGCGGTCCTGAATGAGACTTTTTGCACCATTTTCATGATAAATCAAGCCTAGATGATATCAATATAGTTGAGATCTGACAGTTCATCAGCAGGTGATTATTGCTGGCGTTAAAAAGGGGGGGATTTTTCTTTTATTGCCTTCTAAACTGAAATGAAGTGATAATTATTTAGCCATTTGGCCGACGTTCTTTGATAATAATTACTCCAGCTTTTGCCATTCCCCTACCGATTCCGGGCGGTGAATGCTGCATTTCAGCCCGACCACAGAAGGTTGGGGAATTATTTGATCGCTGTATGGCAGAAAAACGTTGCCGATGCGGGCAGCAAGGGGCAGAGGGTCGGAGCAGCCCCGGGAGCTGCTCGGGGGGGGTTCAGCCGCTTCCGAAAATCCTCAGCCAAATCGCGATGAATTCGGTTAAAATAAATAAATAACATGAGAAGGAGAAGGAGATGGAGGGGTAGAGAGTGGCTTTGAGTGCTGGCGGTGCTTTCAGACACCTGGTTGCGGGAAAAAAGCATGTCTGTTCCTTCTGCAGCGTTGCTTCGAGACATAAATTTAACATGGCTCATGGTGAAACGCTCCTTTCACGTCTCAGGCGCTGGCTGGAGCTGGCACGGGTTTCTGCGCCTCCGACACAAATCGAGAGGCTTTTTAACGATATTTTTTTTGTGGTGGTGAGGTCGAGTATTTTTTTTTAGGATTTTTTTTGTTTGTTTGTTTTTTTGAAGGACGGAAATATGAAAAGCGGCGAGAAATGTGTTGAAAACTCGCCTCGTGTTTGCGGGGGTGTAATAAAACGGGGAGATCCTTTTTGCTGCTTTATTGCTGTGCTTAACACCCGCAAGGATGCTGCTGTGCCTGCCTTCCCCTGACCTCCTTATTTGGGGGCATATCATGCAATGGCATAAACAAAAGAAGAAATCTCCCTCTTTGGCATTCCCCGGCATTCCTTCCTCGGGCTGAATTTGTGAATATTTTTTTTTGTTGTTGTTTTCGGGAGAAAAGGGTTTTTTGGGGGAGGTAGCTCGATGTGGACCGCGAGGCTGACGGCAGCTGCGGGCTGTGCTCTCTCGCTCCCCCCAGACCATCCTGAACTCCATGCACAAGTACCAGCCCAGGTTCCACATAGTTCGGGCCAACGACATCCTCAAGCTGCCCTACAGCACGTTCCGCACCTACGTGTTCCCCGAGACCGACTTCATCGCTGTCACCGCTTACCAGAATGACAAGGTACAACCGGGCAGCCCCTGCCCTTTCCCTGCCCTCCCCTCCTGCTCTGGCTTTGGCCATGTGCCCATTTGCTTTCCCCTCCACCTACCCCTGCTCCCACTCCTGTCCTATCCTTTACCCCTTATTAGGGTGCATTTGTGTGTGTGCACAGAGGACATTTTGGAGGAGAGTGGCCAAAAGACATCAACAGGAGAAAGGTTAAACCCCAAGCTCTGCAAGCAGGAGGCACCTTTCCTACTACTACTGTTATTATTGCTACTGCCAATATGATTGCTATTAGTATTTCTGTTAATACTATTTCTAATTTCCTCCTGGACCTTGTTGCACCTTTTCTGGGCTGTGAGAGTCGTTGGTGCAGGCCCGGGCAGCACCGTGGCCTGGGCAGCCTCATGGAGAAGGTGCCCTGGGCTCGGGAGAAGCCAAAAAAATGGAGCCAGATAAGCTAATTTTAGTTGCTTTCGTGATTTAGCAAGTGTTGCCCTGTGAGCAGCGGAGCCAGGAGAGCTCGGTGGGGAGTGGAGGGCCTCTGCCAGCCCCTCCAAGGGTTGTGTGTGTGTGTGTGTTTTAACCCAAAAGCTGACCCCCACCTCCACCCCTGGCTGCTGATGCTAATTGACAGCTCTGTCTGAGGGTCCTGGTGGGCTTGTTTCCCTCGTAAAGTTTATGGCGAAGAGTCACAATCGATTAAAGAGCACTTTGTCTGCTCGCCCGCCGCAAGCTGAGCGGGGCAGCCGCCGGCCGGTGGGCCCCGTCGGGCGGGGGATGCTGCAGGTCCGGGCGGCCGGCTGGGGGGAGCGGCTGGGCCGGGCCCTTTTCCAGCGCCCCTCTTGGGGCCGTATTTCAGAGCCATGCATTATTGAGCACCCTAATGTCGCCGGCCCCAGAAGCCCGTGGCGGGGAGGGATAAGAATAGCTTTTACCCAGCGCCGCGCGGCTCAGTCGCCATCTTCTCTCCGGGGGGCCGTGAAAAATAACTTCCTATCATTAAGATCCTATTAATAATTCAAGCCCAAACCTCAGCATCATTTTTAATAAAGCATGCGGTGTGTTAAAGCGGGGCCGCAGCGCGTTTCGCAACCTGCGCAGCGCACCCCGGGCTCCCCGACGGCGGCGGGGGGTGTGGGGGACAGGCAGAGCTTCACACCACCCCCTCTCTCCATCTTCCCCCCTCCCGCAGATCACTCAGCTGAAAATCGATAACAACCCCTTCGCCAAGGGCTTTCGGGACACGGGCAATGGCCGGCGGGAGAAGAGGTAAGGGGTGTCCCCCGTCCTTCCCCACTCCGCACCCGCGGAGGGCCGGGCGGTGCCCAACTGCCCCTCTTTCTGCAGGAAGCAGCTCTCGCTGCCGTCCCTGCGGATGTATGAGGAGCCCTGCAAGCCCGACCGCGACGGCGGCGAGTCGGATGCCTCATCCTGTGAGCCCGCGGCCGTGCGCGATGCCCTCCACTCGCCCGTGGGTGCCCTCCCCAGCCCCCTGCGCCTCAAGGGCAACAGCAGAGGTAAAGGAGGAGACGCGGTCCTCAAATTTCCCTAAACTTCGGGTTTCCACTCCTTTGGTCGGTGCCGGTTGCTCAGGAGCAGTGAGGCAAACCACCGGGGAAGAAGAAATGAGGACGGGCACGAAGGAGCCCAAGGGTTGACAGAACAAGAGCAGAGCAAAGGCTAGTGGGGTGCAGCAATGTCCTGTTAAAGCCATGGGATAAACAAAAAGAAACTGTAAGGCAGCCCCTGGGCTTGACACATCTGCCTGGCTCCTCGCTGGTGCGTTCTTGCCTGTCACGGCTACATTACACTCCCCTGGAAAAAAAAAAAGGGAAAAAAAGAAAGAACACATTTGAAAGGGGGAAAAAAATGTTGTAACCCCAAGACTTCAAGCTAGTAAATGAAAACAAACTACCCGTTCCCACGTTGCAGTGTTTAGATGCTGGGTTTTGTCTCGCCGCACTATCAATCTGCTCTTTAAACTTTCCTCCAGCCCTATTCCCTGCAAACCTTCATCAAAACTGCAACCCCCCCCCCACTCCCCGAGGTGGTGGGAGGGTTTATTACACCCCTCTCCTCTTTCAAAGGCTTCCCCGAATATTCGCCCCAGCCTGCAGAGCTTCACCTAACCCGCACCAAAACGTTTTCTTCGTTTAGCAGGAGGTGATCAGGCAGGGGCTCTGTTCCCCTCGCTATCTCCTCGCCTCTCGTCCCCCTTCCTCCTCTGGGAGCTCGATGGGGCTCTCTAGATTAAACCCCTTTTTGGGAAAGTCTGCAGCATGCCTCTTGCCTGAAAACCACCTCTTCAACCTGCCCGTTTGGAATAAATCCACGGCGTGCTGTTGATCAGCTCCATGTAATTAAATATATACAGGACCATTTCCTCCAGCGCTGTCCACCCGCCTGCGCTCTCTTCATCCCCTGCTCTGCAGCCCGCTTTGAGTTTGCATCTAACGAGAGCGATGCTGTAATAGATTTTGGTCCTCCATCAAACATGTTTTTCCTGTTTGGCAGAGCAACAGACCTGCTGTTGTTAATCCCCTTTCCCCAGAGCGACCGTGGCACGAGGGCCCATTTCTGCCCCTGAAATGAGTTTCTCCCATTAATAACGATCGGGGCTTTGCCGCCGCAGTCTCTCCCTGACGCCAGGGCTCTCACGAGTGACACACTCCTTGCCTCCCCTGGGTGCTTCTGATCTGACCCTTTGCCCCTCCATCCCCTTGCAGAGGATAAGCCGGGGGCTGACAGTGACGCAGAGGTGGAGAAGGCACCCGAGGAGCGGCCGGCAGCAGCGGTCAGCCCCAGTGGGGAGGACGCGACGCCCCGTGGCAGCCCCCGGTGCCCAGAGGAGCGGAGCAAGGAGAGACACAGCCCGGAGAAGGTCAAGGATGGTGCATCCCCCCGGGAATGCCCTGGTGAGGGCCTGTTTGGCACACGAGGCCTGGAAAAGGATAAGGTGGAAGGACGGAGGAAAGAGCCAGACCCGGGCAAGAAGGACATGGAGGGCAGTGGGCTAGGCAAGGAGGCCTTTGCCCCGCTGATGGTGCACACGGACAGCCCCCCACACCTGAGTGCTGGGCACTTGCAGAGTCTGGCACTCTCTGGCCTCCATGGGCAGCAGTTCTTCAGCCCTCTGGGTGCCGGGCAGCCCCTCTTCATCCACCCAGGACAGTTCGCCATGGCTCCCGGCGCCTTCTCTGCCATGGGCATGGGACACTTGCTGGCCTCGGTGACCGGCGGGGGAAGCCTAGAGAATGGAGCCCTCTCATCTGCCCCGGGCACGGCAGGGACAGCCAGCCCCTTCCCTTTCCACCTCTCCCAGCACATGCTGGCCTCTCAGGTAAGACCCTGTGCTCATCCCATGACCCCACTGCCCAGCTGGGCCCTGAGCCCTCCTCTCCATGTCCTTCCCCAAAGCTCCCTGAAGGAGCAGAGCTCTCTGGGGGCACAGGTCCCAAGGTGGGGGGATATGCAGGGGGGAGCAATAAAAGTGCAAATAAGGAGCTGCTGGTACCCCCAGCATTCCCAGTGCCCTCTGCAGCCCCTGGGGACAAGGGGGTGAGGCTCCCCAAGACCTTTGACATGCTGCCTGATGCAGCAAGGGCAGGATGTGGGGGACATTTTGAAGGTTGGCCTCAGGGCTGATTTGAGGAGGAATCTTGTAAGTTGTTTGTTTTTTTTTTTGTAGCTGATCCTGTTCCCCCATAAGCAGGGGCAGAGTCAGGAGCATAGCCCTACCTGACCTGGCTGTCCCCATCCAGCAGCATCCCCATATCCCTGTCAGCCCCCAAATGGCTCCTGCAGTGCCTGCGCTTGTGTTGCCTTTCCCATCGCCTATGATGAAATTCATAAAGATGTCTTTGAACTTCCCTAATTTCTCAATCCTACTTAGCAATGTGCTTTAGTCTGGTTAAAGGTTAGTGATGCTGCACAGACTAGGACACACAGTATACATGGAGGGGACAGAGCAGGGATGGGGCATGTCCCAGAGAGGGGGTTTGTGCCTGGCAGCGCCAGCCCAGATCACAGTACAAGACTGTACTCAGTCCCTTGTCCTGTCTCGCAGGGATATCCCCACACTGTGGTTTTAGGATGACTTTCTTGGGGGAACATAGCCGGGGGGCCAGGCAGGAGGGAGGATGCAGTGGAGCATCAGCATGGCTCTCACCCCTCTCTGTCTCTCTCTTTCTCTCCAGGGAATCCCGATGCCCACCTTCGGCGGACTCTTTCCCTACCCCTACACCTACATGGCAGCAGCTGCGGCGGCTGCCTCGGCCATGCCAGCCACCAGCGCAGCGGCCGCCGGGCCGCTCTCCCGCAATCCCTTCCTGGGCAGCAGCCGTCCCCGCCTGCGCTTCAGCCCCTACCAGCTCCCGGTCACCATCCCGCCCAGCACCAACCTGCTGACCACCGGCCTGCCCGCCAGCCTCAACCCCGGCTCCGAGGGCTCCAAGGCCAGCAGCAGCCGCGAATCCAGCCCGCTCCCCGACGTGCCCCTGCACAAGGGGGGCAGCCAGCGCCCCACTGCCTCCCCCAAGGGCTCCCTGAAGGAGTCCCTCAACGAACTGCAAAACATCCAGAGACTGGTGAGCGGGCTGGAGAGCCAGCGGGAGCTGTCACCCGGCAGGGAGTCCCCCAAGTGACCGACGGGGCGGGCAGCGAGCCCTCCGGCGGGGCGGAGAAGCACTGGTATTTTGTACAGCACAGTATAAATATTTATTGCAGAGCAAGGGGTGGGGGACGGACAGGGAAGCGAGGTGCTGGAGCAGAGGGATGGAGCCCCGCCGGCCAAGCAGACCCACCACCCCAGAGGCAGGAGTGAGAGGTGGGAGCGCAAGGCTCGTCCGTCCCTCCAGCTGCGGGGCTGGGAGCGGCTCCCCGACTCCAGCATGGCCATGGAGCCCCCCCGACCCCTCTGCTGCCCCGCTCTGGGCACTGGGCAGCTCTGGGGGTGCAACGAGACCACGCAAAGCCTCATGACGGATGGGGCAGCCCCGACCCCCAGCCCCAGCGCTGGTCCCGGGGAGATGTGCGGGGCCAAAACCTCATCTGTGCAAGGGGGGTGGGGGTGTGGGGGGGGAGGGAGGAAAAAAGAACTAAAAAAAGGAAAAAAAAAGAAATAAGAACCGAACCATGGGATACAAACCGCCTCGGCAGCCGCCGCCACGCAGAGCGGGTCCGGCGGGGGGAGCCCCGTGGGTACCCGGGCAGATATTTATGAAATAAATGGTAATTTGTGTAAATAAGCTATAAGGATCCCAGAATATGCAAATTAGTATTAATTTATTCAGAGTTGTACATTGGTGTGTACATAATATTTAGAGTTTAACTCATCGCATTTAAGGTTTTTTTTTTGTTTTGGTTTGTTTTCTTTTTTGTTTTTTTTTGTTTTTTTTTTTCATTTTACATGAACATATATATTGTAAATGAAAACTATTTAGCTCTTTGTGATTGAAGGAGATACCGGTTTCTTGAACTGTGTTTTAAGATATTGTTTATCCCGCCTGTTCTCTAGGACAATCATGTGCCACCGGTAAAACAATTGTTGGAGTCATTGAAACTAAGGGTTCAATTCTTTAACGGACTTTTGCAAGGAAAATAAAACAGCAACGACAGCAAAGATCGAATCCAAAATGTAACGCAAATATCGCTGCAGTGCGGGGTAGAGAGAATGCAGGAATAAACCTCAGGTTTTTATTTTTCACTCCAAGAACAAAAAGAAAAGAAAAAAAAAGTATAATAAATTTAAATATCACAGGACTGTGCTCTATATTTGTTTTAAAATAAAAAGATACATGATTCGCAACGTGCTGGTTACTCGGGTGTCTGTCTGTTCAGTTTGGATGAATTCTCACATCTTTCAATAAAAAAAAACCCTACTCGGAGAAGTCCTGCCGGCTCCCGCTTGTTTCATTCCCGTCGCCACCCCGCGGCCGCAGCGCCCAGTCGGGGCCGCCGCTCCTCCGCAGGTGCGCAGCGCTGCGCGGGCTGCCCTGCACCGCCGTGGGGCTAATGGGGAAAGATGAAAACAGTCCGAGGTGCGCGGCCGCCGGGGGTCCCCGGGGAAAGGGAAACGTCGCCGTCTCTTCCCGTCAGGGGATTCTGCCCTCAGGGCCTCTGCCCTCCCCAGGACCCCCCCCCGCCCGGGCAGAACCCGGCAAGTACGCGGGAGAGGCGCGAAGTTGTCCGCGGGTGCGCTGATGGATAGGAGGATCCAGCGCAGGGACCCTGCGCGAGTGCGGATCTGTCCGCACCATCCTCAGGGGGCAGCGGGACTGCCGCGGATGCGTGCCAGGGCCGCCCCGGGAGGGCAGGGCCCGGGCAAGCCGGTAGAGTCCTGCCGTGCTACGGTGACGAGCACTGGTACCGGCGAAACGGGAAAGGCTCCGGCACATCAGTTCCAGCCAAGGTCGGGGTGCGCCGGTCACACCAGCCCCAGCGGGGAAGGGATGAAGCGGGCAGAGCGGCACCGTCGGGGATGGGGCTGCCTCGGCGCCGGGGGTCACTACGTTTCCCCCCCCCCCGCTGCCGGAGCCGCTCGGGGCGTTGCGGGGCGCGGCCGTGCAGGACGCAAACGGCCCTTTTCCTCACCAATTACCCTTCTCCCGTTCCCGGGAAGATTTATGATCCCAACTGCGGGCGGCGGCAGGGGGCCCGTCCCCCTCGGGCGCGGAGGCGCAGCGCCGGGCGTAGGTCGCCCTCTGCTGGTGCCGCCGCGCACCCGCCGCCGCCGCGCCTCGACGGCGCGGGTCGTGCGCGGCAGCGGCTCCTCCTTGGCCTCCCCGGAACTCCCATCCCAGCGCTCCCGGGGGGACTGCAGGCAGGGAAGGGGCTGCGGAACCCTCCCTTAGCAGTGTATGAGGGGAGATGCTGGGGCTGCGTTCCCCGAAGGCAGGAGAGGAGAAGTGGGGCTGCATGGAGAGCAGTGGGGCTGTTTCTACCTGTGAGGAAGACCGGCAGTGTGGGAACGGCTTCACGAGGAGGAGGGAAGTGTAGTTACTAAAATTAAGTTTTCAGGATTAAACTGTATAAGCATCACTCAGGATGGGTAACAATTTAATGGGCTCTGGTTTTAGACGGGGGAGGGTATGGTGTGTGCCAGTGCGGGGGCTCCCCTGGCCCAGTGTAGCCCAATCATGCTGGGTTTAGGCTACACCGTCTAATCACAGCAGGGAGATGGCTCACCACAGCCAGCACCAGGGAAGCCTGGTGAGAGGATCAGTGAAGGTTTAAACATCACCTCCTCCTCAATGGCTGAACACTGGGGCCTAAAGGGCACCCCAACCTGCCCTCTGAGCATGAAGCCACTCTTCACTGGGGAGGGAAAACCTCTCCCTGCAGACTGTGGGTTCATGACTGTGACCTTGAGGGACGGTGTGGGAGGCAGGGAGCAGGGCCTGGCCCCCCAGCCAAGCAGTATGGGCAGCAGAGCATTCTGTCAGGAGCTGAGCTGCTCCAGGCCTGCCATGGCCAAACCCAGTCTCTGAGAAACCCTGTTCAAACAGCCTAAGGAACAGCGACTGATTAGTCATGCACTGCGCTGGGATTATTTTCCTCAGCTATGAAAAGACACTAGGAGGCCCTGCGGGGGCACACTCGGCACAGTCCCCCCCCCCCCCCCATGGCTCTGCTGCTCTGCACCCTTCAGTGCACCCGATGAAACCCTGCTTGGCCATGCCATGTGCTGTGGTCACTGCCGAGTCATGAAAATGAAGCGCTGGGTGCTCCACTGACCTCTGGCTGATGGAAGGTGTTTCACCAGCGAGTAGCACTGGCGCCGTGTCACTAGCACAGCGAAATCCCACAGCTGAGGATTTCACTAGGGCTAGTGGTGGCTTTGGAATTTCTTCAGCTAAACAGACAGGGTGCTTGGCTAGACACTAAAAATAGCTTCTTACCCCGAGGGTTTTGTGGGCCTGGTAGACAAACCCTGACTAACTTGGCCACTGAGCTGCCGTGCAGCACAAGAGGCTGCTGAAACGGCTCCATGGGAGGGCGTTTGTCAGCAGGAACAAGGGTTCACTCCAGAGCATCACACAGCCCCGCAGAAGGGGGGAACTCTGCCACAACACCCATCCCTGTACAGGCCCAGCGGTGGCGGTTTGTCACTTGCTCAGGCTGAAGGGCTCTGCTGTTGGAGCTGTGCCTGCGTGTCAGCCCAGTGCCACCACACGCTCCCCAAGCATGTCAGGTTACGGGTGCATGGCAGAAGGGCAAGGGAGCTCCACTGGGTGTGCTCAGGCCCTGACTGCTATGGAAGGTGGGGAAATCTGCTCTTTTGTCACTGCTGTGTGGGGTTTATAGGAGCTGACCACTGCGCATCCATCCAGAGGAAGGGCAGCACCCCGAGAATGGTGCCATGAAGCTGGGCACACCGTGCCCTGTGCTGGGAGCTCCCGCAGCCCTGTGGAGTTTCCTTGACCCACTGATGCCACAGGCAGGTTCAAATCCACCATTTGAACACTTCAAGGACGGTTCGGGTCCCTCTGCCAGCCCGGGACGCTGCTGTTCGGGAAGGAGAGCCCCGGGTGGGCGGGCAGCGGGGCTGGCAGCGGGGAGGGCAGCGGAGCAGGGCAGCGGATCTGCAGCTCTTGGTGCCTGCCGCAGCGCTGCCTGCGAGCCCGGGCAGAAGCGGAGCGGGCCGAGCCCCCGACCGCGGCTCCCAATTAGGGCCCGGCCGGCGCTGCCCCCCGCGGAGCGCAGGGGCGGTGGAGGCGCGGTCGCGGCCTCGGAGCCCCAATTACCCGCGGGGCCGCCGCTCTGTCTGCCGCCCCCAGTGGAGGATCAATAGACAAAGGGCAGCTCCGGGGACCTCCACGAAGCCCTGCTCCCCCGCCTCCGACCGGTCATCCCCTAGCGCTGCGCACGGCGGATCCTCCGCGCAGGGTACCTGCGCATCTCTCCGCACTTGTGCGCCTGAGGCGGGATGCGCAGCCCCGGCGGCCCCGCACCTGCGGGCGGGCGTGATTTATGTGGCTGCTGCTAGGCCTGGGTGAGGTTCGTCGGTTATTGTGGGGTCTTACGTTCTTCATCTTCTGTCTTTAGTGGCATTGAGCCCCGGTGGAGTCCCCGACGTGAAGCCCAGCCTGTCTCTGCAGCAGCCAGCTGGGTGAGACGTCCCCTCCTCCTCCATCTGCTCCAGGTTTTTTTTTCCTGGGGAAGCCCTGGAGCCTCTGCCCAGGTCTTTCTGCCAGGCACCAGTGTCTCAAAGGCCTCTTCATCCCTTGCAGGCGGTTCTGGCCCATTAACCCATCAGGGGCATAGTGCCTGGCACAGGCTGGGGATGCGGGAAGGATGAGGTAGCCATCCAGGCTGTTTCCTCCTGCGACGTTTCCGGAGCTGCTTTGATCTGTGCGGGTGTCCGGTGGGGTAAAAACATTATCAGGGAAAAAGCAGCTGTTTACTTGGATGCAAAGCTGTTTTTTAGCATCAGGCACCGTTTGCTCCTTCTCTGCCCTAGGGCAGGGTGGGAAAGGGGAAAGGGGAGTCTCTCGGTTTATTCCTGTTGTTTACAGCGGCGGGTGACAGCGAGGGAGAGCCGGGCCAGTCTCCCTGCGGCGCCTGTCCGGCCCTTTCCCAGACCTTCCCCGGAGCCGCTCCGGGAAGGGAGGAGGCTCAGCCGCGCCCCGCGGGTCTCTGCTTGGGACATCCGACGGCTGGGGGGCACCCAGCGGCCCCCTCCGCTGCTCCCCTCGGGAAAGCAAACCTCTCCCAGCCCATACTGAAGGGCCGCGGTGGAGGAGCGGACGGCGCAGCCCCGCTTTGCCTTGGGGTCGCAGGAAACAAGAAAACCGGGGTTTTTAATTCCTCGGGCCATGCCCCGGCTCCAGACCGTCCCGGCCGTGCCCGCGGCTGCCCCGAGCTCTGCCACCAGGTGGCGCAGTGGCGCCGCACTGTGGGGCAGCCCCGGCTGGGTGGCAGCAGCCGGCACCGACGGCACCGACAGCGAACGTGGGGTGTTTGGGTGCCCGCAGACCGTAGGGGTGATGTTACCGCGAGCTGCGGTAGTAACACCCCTCTCCCTGCGCTCCCCCTCCGGGCCCAGCCTGTGATCACAGCCGTGTCGCTGTGGTGCACCTTGCTGGGTGCCGTAGTGTGGGTGTACGTTCAGTTTTTCTACCGGTGGCCCGTGTGCAGTCACAGGGAGGTGTGAGCAGCCGTCCTGATGTACCTATAGACCTCCTCAGAACGCAGCGAATGCTTGCTCTGAGCACCTAAGCGCAAACAAGCAGCCAGAAGTGGTAAGGCTTTGTCTTCTGCACGCTGGGTTTTATATTGACTGAAGTATTAACAAATGAAATCATGTGAGAGAGGCTGCTTCTTTCCCTCTTCAAGCTGGCGTCGCTGTAACTGGTGACATCAGCACAGGTACATCTGTCCTTCGCCTCCCACTGATATCTGTAAATGGTCCTTGCCTCCAGCCTTGGGCCTGGCAGGCTCAGTAATTCTTTGGAAATAAGATCTAATTAAAATGAGACAGCGCTGTCAAGGGGCTACCTAATTGTCTTTGCGAAATGACCTTGTGGAGATGTTGGCTCGGTTCCCAGCAGAAAGGTGTTGTCAGTGCAAAATCCTGTGCAGTTGCGGGGAAAGGGCTAAAGACTTTTGGGAACTAATTCTCTAGGCTGGGAAATAATGAGCTGGTGGAGACGCTGTAATGCTGTTGTCTCTGCTCCAGCTCCAGAGCTGTCCTCCCCACCCAGGGCACACTAGGGCTCAAGGACACCTTCGAAATGGCTTTAAAGGACACAAATTGCATGCATCCGGGTTCAGCCTAGGTAAATACCAACAGGTATTCCCAGCATT